AAAAATTAAGAAAAATCATCATCCATAATGGGTTAGTCTTGATGTTAATTGCTTCAATCCTCTTGCTAGACTTTCTCTCAATGTAAAATTATATTGAACAACATTTTTTGTCTTCGCACTAGGTTAAATTACCCCCATCAGTTAGATTACTACCATGGATCACATTGTAGCTCATCTTGTGATCGCATGGTGATGGAGTTTCGCTCTCGGGTTAATACTTTTTGTGTATTGCGATCGCACCCCTATATCTTGAACACTTATATACTTTGGTCCTCCGTGATGGAGTTTCTTCTTTCGTTCAGCTTAAGTCATTTCTCCGTGCCATTCTCATCCTTTACTTTCTAATTTCATCCAATTGACTTTGTGCATTCTTTTATCATCATTCCTTTGTTCGAATCAACTTTGAATATTTGTAATTTGGTATCCAAACCTTGGAATTCTTCACTTTTCTCCGATTTCCGTTCATTTCTTCCATAATTACTTCCAATAATTGATTTCTACCTAAAAAACAAAATATACAAGAGAAAAATGCTCTCACATAATCTATGTTTAACGATTTAGATAAGTGCATAAAATACAATTATTAGATACCGTAATGATCATTGCAGTAAAGATTGACTCTATCTAGTTCAGATAAATAGATGTACTGTTTTAAGAAAGAGGCACTGATCTTTTGCTAATCTATTAACATTGCATTTCTTTAATCACTTGTTTTTCAAAGGTTTCTCATCAAAACTCCAAGATCTAATTGAAGTTGTATGAGAAATTTGCCGAGAATTGAACTTAAGATTAATACCAAGTAGCCGATTTTTGGGTTGTTTTATAATAAAATGGGCCTATCAAGCTTCAGGATTAAATATTAAATATTAATTAAATTGGGATTATCGGGTACTTTTATGATAAAATGATATTGCTTTGGTTTGTACCTACATTTTCTATTTCGGCCCTCAAAAAGGTCAAGTCGACCAGTGATATATAGTGAAAGTATGAGAGAATGCTAGAAATCCAGATATTGTGATTAAACGTTCCATGAACACTAAGGGGAGTGTATTCAATTGAGAC